TGGGCTGGCTCTGCGGGCTTCTGGGGGTGGAAGCTCTCCTGCAGCCCCCCCAATTGCCCCCTCTCCCCAGATGGCAGCCTGCAGCAAGTGCAGCCGGGCTGATGGCCAAGTGGTGTGATGTGCCCAGTGTGGGTAGTCCAGGCAATCCAAGCCAGGACTGCTTTGCAAGCGGGGCACCCCTGAGAACTGTCTGTCCGGGGTGGGGGTCGGGACCCTTTAAGCACAGCCCTCGGCTAGCCTGAGACAGCATCTCCACGCTCTAAGTCCTCCTCTGATGCCCTGCTGGCACTGCTTCCGGCCATCCTTAACCCCGGTTCAGGGTCCACTTAATGCGGACATGCTAGTTCGAATTAGCAAAACGCTAATTCGAACAATTTATTTAGTCTGGATCCGTTAGTTCGAATTAGCTTAGTTCGAATTAACTAATTCGAACTAAGTTAGTTCGAATTAACGTTGTAGTGTAGACATACCCTTAATGGTTTCAATGGTTATTCTGTTGCATCACTAGTTTTGATATCTGAACAATTCTAGAAGAGGCACAACCAATTAATAATACCTAACGCTTCTAGATCTCAAAAAGCTTAATAAAGAAAGTAAGTTTCCATCTCCACCCCAAAAAAGGTCTCTGCCCCAAAAAGCTACAATCTAGATATGGGCTCAGGAAGAGTTTTTTATGTGTAGCCCAGAGGCACTGAGACCACTGACAAGGGAGCAAGACATCTTCTCTACAGCCTTAGCTCAGAGCCAGTTGGCTTTTGCTCCTACGGTCACAGGTTCAATCCCTCCTGCCAACAAACAGGGGCCGTTGGCTTCACGTACGCTTTTGGCATGACTGACTGTCCCACTACTTTTCTGAGAATGGGATGTTGGCTGCACAGCACACCAAAATCCCATAACAACAAGGATGTTAGGTCCTTCCTGGCATTGGTTTCTTAGCAAACGTTTACTGCCAAAACAAACTCCTTTAGGAGCTTACAAAAGCCAAACCATCCATGAAGGAACTTCTATAAAATAAGAAAGCTGAGCATGTTTGAGAAATGGACACCTGTGTTCTCAGCCTGTTATTATACATGTAGGTCTGGGGGCAATTGCTGCTCAGAAAAGCAGAAAAATTAGAAATATTCTGGATACTGTGGCTGACAGCAGCATTTTTCTGAGCTGCTCTATAATGGAAAGAAAGTTATCCAAGACAAGGTTAAGAGGAGCTAGTTCCACAAGAGGGACATCAATTCCTATGCACCCTGCCACTTACTGGTATTGTCTGCCCTGAGTTAGGCACCAGATTCCTCACACAATGCACTGGGAGAGTTGGGTTATTTCTTCCAGTGGCAGCATAAAGCATATGCATAGCTACCTGCTGCAGTGAAAGGTGATTGAGCCTTTCCCCACTGCCAGAGGCTTTCTCTGAGTTTTAAATGTGCTTCTTGGGACATTGCCTTGTTCTTGTATTGTGAGAAAGGTCAGAGAATGTTTTTGCGTATTCATCTTTAACGTAAGTGATCCTTCCCAGTCTCCTCTCATGTAGAAGTCTTTATGCACCTAATCATTTTCACCACCCTATGGTCCTTCTAATTCTCTTTGAGTGAGGGGGAGTAGAAGTGAACTCAGTATTCCAGATGAAATGTGTCCTAGTCTGGGGTTAGCTTGCTTCTGATGATGAACTTGAGTTGCTGGCAGG